TCACAGGATTGCCTGGCCATGAACAACCCATGCAGACCCACTCACTATCTGCCAGATAAGGATGTAAGATACCCCAGGCTCAGCTTTGTTGCAGTCCCAGGATCTCAATGCCATTTCACCTTGCAGAGAGACCATGAGACATGTGCACAAATGAGTGACCTTGCAAAGAAGTGGTGGCCACCAGCACTCCCAGCAGGAGAACCATAGGGCAGCCAAAACCTAGGCACCCTGACACTGGACCTCAGGCCCTGGGTGGTGTTCTCAGGCAGAACTGGCTGCACTGTGAGATGGTGGTAGCAGCAAACCTGCAAGCACCCTGGCCCACAAGGCCCTGGCCACTGTCCCAAGATGGAGAGGGCTGTGTGCAACCAACCCTGCAGGCAACTTGGCAATGGACCTCTGGGCGACAGTGGCGGCAGTGGCACCCTGAGAGTCCCCACTGCTTCTTACCACTGTCACCACTACTGTGCAACACAATTTCCAAGGGAAACTCTGGAATCCTTGAAGGGCTCTGCCATTACTCTAATCCTGAGACCAGACCTCAGAGAGGGAACTGCAGTCCCTGAATTGGGACACCAAAAGGCAATGGGAGTCATTTGATGGCACTCAAGCTGCAGAGCAAAGGGGCTACTGTAATGGGCAGGAGAGTCAAAACAGCAAACAGAATAGTCTGACCCCTGCAGCCCGAGGATGTGAGTTCATGGTGTTCCTGGAAGTGAAAGATACGAGAGGTTTGCTAAATCCTCACTGGATCCGAGTAAACAGAAGAGTTTAAGACCAAGGGGGAAGGTCTAACTGGAATAATAAAAACAGCTATATTACCTCAATCAATTCCAAGACCTAAGCCAGATTAGAAACCCAGAATGATCTGAATGAAGAAGAGGTGTGTTGCAATGAGTAAAAACTTGGAACACAAGTGCAAAATTATATTTTAGTCCCAACATCCTCTACAGAGATGTAAGGCTTACTATCTTGGTAAGCACACCCTATGAAAACATGAAATAACCAGAACTCTTTCTGGTTACATACCACACTGCAATAAACAACTATATATCTAGGGGCTGGGGATGTGGCTCAAGCGGTAGCGCGCTCACCTGGCATGCATGCGGCCCGGGTTCGATCCTCAGCACCACATACAAACAAAGATGTTGTGTCCGCCGAGAACTAAAAACTAAATATTAAAAAATTCTCTCTCTCTCTCTAAAAAAAAAAAAAAAACAACTATATATCTAAATGCTATATGAACACATTTGGAAGCCCAGAAATAATGCTGGGATTGTTGTGAAGTTGCATGAGCACATTGTTAACCGTACAGGTTATTTTTTTTAATCTTTTTTTTTAACCTTTGTTTTATTTATTTCTATGTGGTGTTGAGGATCGAACCCAGGGCCTCGCATGTGCTAGGTGAGCACTCTACTGTTGAGCCACAACCCCAACCCTACCATACAGAATATTATCCAGTTACATATCAAAGGATTGACTCAATTTGTGCACTGACCAACAAGTATGATAGCTATGTTGATCCTTTTCCTATTCCCCACTTGATACAGTTATATTCAAGAAGTTGTCAATTTGATGGTTGTAATAATTGCCCATTGTGCTTTTAATCTTGCTCCTGATTATGTCATATTGTAGAATCTTGGTGCAGGATTATATGCTGTGAATTGCTCATAGCATATGCCCATATGTTGAAAGAAGTAACTTTTGGTACATATTCTTCATATATTTTGGATATTAATCCTATCCTTGAATAAGTAACAACTTTTCAAAGTAGAGAGTGTTCTGCTGTTTGAATGTAAAGATTTGATTTATTTCTACTGGGGGAAGGAAGAGAATAAATAGAACCGTTTTTTAATTTTCTCTCCACTATGTACACCCATTCCCACATGCATACAACTTACTTCTAATTGAAGGTGAGGTCAGGTTGAGGAATAACAGTAACAACAACAAAATCACTATCAAGTGTGCCGGGGTAAAACCAGGAAAAATTTCATCCCTTAAGCACATTTGTTTTGAGCCAGCAAAATGTTTGAGATTGCCATCTAGACTACCTGTTAGTTTAGGAATGATCTTTAAATTCTACTTACATAAACTAATGTAGCAGAGTCACTGGTTTTATTTACTCTACAATGTGAAGGAAGCACAAAATGTCACTCATTCTCTAGTAAGTTTTATTGGTCAGGGTTCTCCAGGGAAACAGAACCAAGAGACTTACTGTAGAAATTGGTCTATGGATTATGGAACCAAGAAATTCCAGTGTTTGTGTGCAGGCTGGGGAATCAGGAAAGTAAGGGGTATAATTCAGATTGAACCAAAGATATGGGACTGAGGGCTGATGGTGTTAAGTCCTGATCTGAGTCATGAAGTCGAGAATCAGTGATGGCTTGTCATATCCCAGAACCAGGGAAGACGGACACCTCAGATCACGCAGAGGAATCTCACAAAGAATCTTGCTTTGGGTTTTGCTGGGGGCCCTGAAAGGATTGGATGATCCCTGCTCACACTAGGGAAGGAGATTTGTTTTCTCAGGCTACTGCTTTCAGAGCAAATCTTTGCCAAATACACCTTCAGAAATAATGTTTTTTGTTTTTTACCAGCTATCTGGGTATCCCTGAGGCAGTGGGTTGTCACATAATTTTATGTTGTCACATAAAATTAACCACCACATTGATTGATTGCATAAAAAAACTCCAAACCAATAAGATTTTTTAAAAACAGAGATGTTTATTTAAATATAACAAAACAGACAGAGTCCCTGAAGTTAATAGTGAAGGCTGCCATGGTATTTTAGAGACATATTGCACCATCTCAAGGCAGTGTTATTCAGATTTTCATCATTGTGACAAAATATCTGACAAAACAGCCACCTAGAGGAGGAAATATTAGTTCTCGGTTCACTGTTTCAGAAGTTTTAGTCCAAGTTTGGCTGACCGCATTGCTTTTTGGCCTGAGATAAGGCAGAATATCCTGGCAGTAGGAGCAGTGGCAGAAGATACCGCTCACATTGTGGTAGCAATGATAAGTAATTTATTCTTTTTTAAAAGAGAGGGAGAGAGGGAGGAAGGGGCCTGGGATATAAAGAGCCCTTCAAAGAGTGACCCAACTCTTCACCTCCTAAAGTTTTCTTCACCTCTCAATAGAACCAGAGTCAACACATAGATCATATAGATCTTTGGGGGACATTCCAGATCCAGTCTATACAAAGGTCAACTCAAGGTGCAGAGAAGTATTTGATTACACAGGACCAGGATGGAAACACCTTGTTGAGATTTCCTGTTCCAGCAGCCAGAGGCTAAGTGTACAATTCCATAGGTTAGCAAAGGACTTGGCCTAACGTGTTAACAAAGAGTGCAGAATTGGACTATCACAAAACAGAATAAGGGGCTCAAAGTTGAAGCTGAAGTCACTGTATCTTCATGGGGGTCATCAGATCCTGGGGTAGCAGGGGTCATCAGATCCTGGGGTAGCAGGGGCCAGTTGGTGGCAAAGGAAAGGTATGTGTGGCTGCTATAATGGATGGGAAAGTGAAAGCAGCAATCAGAACAGTCCAACTCTTGAAGAAGTTGATTATGGCTCGTGGTGTTCCTAGAAGGGACATTCACAACTTTCTTCCAAACCCTCACTAGATCTGAATAAGCAGAGGAGCTCTAGGCTACATGAGAAAGTCTGACATGTTTGAGGCCTGTGGGTTTGTACTTCAATCTTCATCTGCTCTATGGAGGAAGAGCAGGTAGTAGACTGGCAGAAGACCAGTAAGGACAGTTATTTAACTGAATCACATTTTCAGAAGCTTCTTGGGAGCATCTTCAACCTTTAGACAAGAAACATGTTACTTCAACTCTCTGAAGAAATCCTACCTCAGTTCTCCTGGGTGCTTACCTTGGGTCATGTGTTCTCCTCCACCCATAACAAAAGGGTCCTGCAGCCTCTATCACCCTCTTCCCTTCTTTCTCACAGGCCAGAATCAGCCCCAGCCCTGCAGTAGGCCTTGGTGTCTCAGGACTGCAGCTGTAATGACTGGATCTGCTCCCTGACTCGGAGCCTGCTCCTCCTCCAGATAGGAGGGGCCATTGGACCTGGGGATGGGGAGAACCCTGTTGAAAGAGGGGTTCTTGGAACCTGGTTCCCAGAACTTGGGTGGGGTTACAGACACACATCTTTCTTCCCTCTTCCCCCTCAACCTCTCCTTACCTGGGAGCAGCACAGCTCTAAAAGTGACTGGCCCTGCCTACTCCCTCCACTCTAGTTAAGTCAGCTGGAGCATCAGGCTACAGCAGCTGCTCAGCCCTACCAGTCTCTGCAGAGGCTCTGCTCAAGGCAGAGGCTGCTGAGCTGGCTCAGGATCTGGAGTCTGCAGGAGGCTGGGTTCCAGGACCACAGCCTAAGGGTCAATCCTGGAGTTGTAGGAGTCCCCAGAGAGCTGGCATCTTCTGCCTTCATCCTGGACAGACTCTATTCCCAGTTTTCCCTTCAACTGCTAGAAGTGAGCCTCCTGTGGGAAGGCAGCCCTAAACTCCAGCCTTCGGAAAGGCCTTCTCTGCTCCCTATCCTGGCATTAGCCGTACGACCTCTCTTTTTGACTGTGGGTATGGAGTTCCTTCTTCTGTACACAATGAATGGAGCTACTATGCTGCCATCACCCAGGATGGGATATTTGCCTTCCTGTGTTTCTGTTATCTCTTCACCATGCACCACTGGGCCTCTTTTTTTTTGTAGAAATCTGGTCTGAGTCAGACCTGCATAAGCTAAAACCCTTTAGAATCCACAGGCTGCCTTGGTATGGCCCTTCCTCTTTCCCATGGACCCTGACAGAGAGGATTTCTCAGGACTCAGGGCTCAGAATGGCCAAGCTATTTCTACCAGTGACAGGAGGCCTGATTCTTCTGTCTCAGAATGAGAAGGACCAATCAAAGTGCAGACTGGGGCCTTGGAATTTACTTTCCTGTCCTCATTGCTCACACAGCTGCCCCATGTTTCTCTGTCCATTATGCCTACAGCACCTGTCAGGAAGATCTGGAGGCCTAGGTGGATAAAGTAGGTGAGGATCCAGAGCAGGGCCCAGGGAATCAGCTTGCTGGCTGTGGACTCCTGGAAGACTCTGTCTGGGTTGGCGATTGAAGGTCCTGAAGTGGAAACACAAGACAGTTAGCCCTTGTTCAGAGCAAAATCAGTGGAGATGCCTGCTCAGCTCCTGCTGCCCCATGTCATTCAGGCAGGCACATAGTTCCTAGACCTCTGCTATGTGGCAGCTGCTGTGACAGGTCATGAAGACTAAGGGAGACCGGAGAAGGGTCCTGACCTTAAGAAGCTCACATAGATAAAGGGAGAAGCCTGGGTGACATACAACTCCCATCCTTCCTGGTGGCAGAATATGAGATGACCCATGAGGATGGTGGTGGAGAAGGGTCTCAGGAGCTGACATGTGAAGTGATTCACAAGAATTTCCAAAAAGAGACGAGCAAATGCCAGACCAAAGCATGTGCATTGAGGAAGAGGCATTAGGAGGTGAGAAGGGAAAAGATGGGAAGACTATACCTTTGGCTGTTAACCCAGGTCTGAGTCAAGGTGGATGATGGGTCTCACACACACACACACACACACACACACACACACACACACAGGTAGCAGCAACTCATGTGAAAGCAGCTCCCACTTCCTCCCCCTCCTGCCAGTTACCTGTTGGCTCCAGCGCTGCCTCCCATTCCTTCAAGTTCTGAAGCCAGGTTCTACAGTCACCCATTGAGGTCTTGTGTAAGAACTTGGTCATTTCTCTTGCCATTTTCCCACTTTTCTTTCATCCAGTTGGACCCAGGATGAACCACTGTCCACCTTTTGTTGTCTGAGTCAAAGCAAAGTCACATCCGGCCATTGAAGCCAAACTGCCAGGAGCCGCTGGTGCATCCACTGGATTTTGCTAAGAGCCACAGCAAAGTAATATGATGCATGGTGTTTTTGGTTGAAAGGTGATGCCAGCAAGCCATTGAGATGATATGATTATGTTAAGATTTGCATTCATATGGATATTTGACTCCTGCTGTTCACCTTGGCCTGCTATGGGACTCCTGGAGAGTTCCCATTGGTTGGGGAAATGCAATAGGAGGGAATTCCAGAGGAGGAACTTCCTCTTGGGATCCGGGAGAATGCCGCGTGCGTTGATCAGCAATCTTCCCGGGAGCTTACGGGGCATTGGTGGCAATTTCAAAAAATAAAGTTTGTTCCTGCTTGAGTGACTCGTGATTTTGTGCCCAGCCAGACTGCGGCAGGATTTAAGCCAACAACACATCCTGCCCTCCAGAGTGTGGAGACCTGCCCCCATCAGAGAGAGATCAGCCTCCTTGCTTAACAAATCCTTTGTCCCACCCAGTCCCACCTTCCCTGGTCTCCTTCTAATCTGGCTGTGTTCTCTCTCCAAACCAGCCCTGTCTGGGCTTTTTGGAACAACCAACACCCATTTTTTTTTTCATGGACACAATGATATCTCTAAACCCAGTATCAGGTCTCTCATGTCCCTGGAACATCCTTACTTACCTTTGGCCAAGTCATTTTCTGCTTTAGTGTCAGCCAGTTTCTGTTTTAGCATATCCCCCATTTCTCTCAGTGTGGCTTTTTGCTCTTCCCAGGTGACTGTGGCACTCATTTTCCCTCCCAGGGCACTCAAGGATTTGACCTTGTCCAGGCCACAGTCATAGGAGAGAAAATTCTTGTGGTCCACCTGGCCTTGGATGGTACACCATTGCTGTCCAGGTGCTGGCTTAGAATTGACGGTGAAGTCATAGCAAAGGGAGTGAGTGCCTGTGAGGGAAAAGGGCGAGTAGGGGTTGGGCTGGTGAGAAAGGATCCTTTAGGCACCCTCTCCCCATCCCTCTGAAGGGCTGAGCTGGCAGAGCAAGAATGACCCTTCCCAAGCTGTGTGCTCCACCTGTTTATGGTGGGCATGTTTCCTTGTTTCAGGCAGAGGGGGACACTACTTGGCAAGCAACCTCATTCCCAGGACATGGCCCACTTCCCCTCTGCCCATTGAACAATGCCTACACCCAGCAGAACAGGACCTTGCAAGGGCAGTGCCAGGCCTGCTGTGAGGGAAGGGCCTGCATGGCAGAGGATGTGGAGAAGCAGTGCCCTGGACTGCAGGGAGGGGACAGTGTGTATGCTGAGTCACGGTGGGCCCAGTGATCATGGGATCACAGCTGCATGAGGGAGAGTTTATAATTATGGTTCATAGCTTGTAGCTTGACTGTTCAGAGACAGCACTTGTGTGCCAGGGACTTGCCTTCTTTTAGGATAGAAGGTGATATCCTACCATGAATGAAATGGAAAAATCCATAAGTTCAAAGAACGGTAGTAGAGGAGGGATCAAAACTATCTGCTTTAGAGGATCCGAAAGTGTTTATGCCAGGTTAGATGTGATAGGAAAGGCAGAAATATGCCTAGTCTGCTGTGCTTTGTAAGAAAGCCTGGCAGACTTTTGTGTATCAAGTGTATTAGAAAATATCAGGTACTAGGCTGGGGCTGGGGCTCAGTGGTAGAGTGCTTGCCTCATATGTGGGAGGTACTGGGTTCGATTCTTAGCACCACATAAAAATAAAGGTGTTGTGTCCAACTACAACTTGAAAAAATTAATAAAAAATATCAAGTACCCAAAAACAGAACCAAAATTAGAGAAAAGGGAGAAATAATATCAGAGCATAGCATAAATAAATAAATTAGTGGCTAAAAAACAGCAAAAAAGATGAATGAAATAAG